CCTAGCCTATTCACAATTTGTTTCAGTTCTTCTGGTGATGACACCAATATAACAGTGCCATCAGCATAACGTGGTTTTTTCATTTATTTTCCTCCTATCGTTGCATCACCTTGCCATTCATCAAAAACTTGACGAATAATATATTCTATATATATATATATATATATATATATATATATATATATATATATATATATATATATATATATATATATATATATATATATATATATATATATATATATATACATATATATATATATAAGGATCACTCAGACGAGTGGTGGGTTCTTATATCGGTCTCTAGGTGGAGAAATAAAAGACAAAGTTGATAGGCTACTTTATCTATTTTGAAGACGTTTCGCTTTCGAGTTTTGAAAGCATCATCAGTTCATCTAAAAAATTATTACAATATGAGAACCACACAATCATGGAAACGATGTTAATTGTTACCTTAAAAAGATATGTAGCAGTCAATGTTATTAACAAATATGTGAATGAAACTAAGTAAATGGACATAGTACGCTGATCTTGTATAAACAGTTAAGCAACTAACAACATATATGAACTTGTATAAAAATTAGCACAGCAATTGACCATGTGGTCCAAAATAAATTCAATGTTATTTAATGTTAATAAGTGAGAAAGAACCAAGAAAATCATAAATAACCTCCAACTATTTAATGGATATTAAACTTTGATTTTAACTTTCGGTAGCATTATAAGTAATATTAATAAAATTCTAAAAAATAGTGAATATGAAGTTACCGATCAAAGCCCTATGGATGTCGCCGTGAAAATGGCGTTAGATGAAACAGGAACGAACTAAACCGCAAAAAGACAGCCAACCTTGAGGTCAAAATTACTTTTGACAGATCAACAAGGTGTAAATACCAACCCAAAATTTTGGGCGGTTAATTTAATTTTAACTGAGTCTGGATGACTACCAGGTTGTAAAGGACAACAACAGTGAAAAAAGTTGGTAGTGTAAACACAACTCCCCTCACTAACCGGCCCAAATTTACAAACCAGAGATTCTCATTCAAACTCATAATAATGTAATGACGTTAATCATGTGGCAAGTTAAATATATAGCAATATATAGCAATATATATATAGCTTTGAGGTTTATTGGGATTTATTCAGCGGTGAAATAAGTGTACTCTTTTAATTAAGTTTCAAGCTTTCGAAAATGTTTATTTTCATCATCAGGAAAAAACTGAAAATAAAGTGCGACTGTTAGTAAAGCATCCTCGAAATTAGTTGTAGTGAATGGTTGTAAAAATCGAGAAAAAAACTTACGTTAGTGAGGTTCATCTTTCGTGGATGTTTCACTTACAGGTGACAATTTTACGCACCACTCATTGATTGAGTCAAAATTTAAAATATATAAAAATTGCATGGTGTAAAAGACCAAACTTAATAAATTATTATACTTTAACACATAAGAAAAAGACAGTTAAAAAGTTTTCAACGGCCACGTGTGCCGGCCAACTGTTGAATGATAGGTTAAGAGTAATTGTCATTCCTGGACATGGCAAATGACAGTACTTCTTCTTATTTCTTTGTCTTATGTAGTACTACTATTATTACACATCAAATTTTTAACAAAGGTTGTATTAGAAAAACAGAATTTTATAATGAAACTGTGAGAAAACAACGAAACCTGGAAACTTTACAATGAATCAGTCGTTGAAACATCATTGAATTGTGATGATCCATCCAAATATAATAGGTAGGAGTAAATAGTGCTCAATTGATTAATGTCACTCCTTTTGTTCATTGCGTTTGAGTTTTGTGCAATGAATGCCATTTCTAGAAAAAGTCTTTTATTGTAATTGGACTCAGTAGCTAAAATTTTGACTGAATCGTAATTCATAATATGATGTTCTTTATTTACATGTTCTGCAAGTGCAGATCTTTCTGGATATAGCCTGCTGTCGCTACGATGACTGATTAGGCGACTGCCTAGGTTACGTGTGGTTTGTCCCACAAACCATATATATATATATATATATATATATATATATATATATATATATATATATATATATATATATATATATATATATATATATATATATATATATATATATATATATATATATATATATATATATATATATATATATATATATATATATATATATAGATAGTTTACAGTTATATACAGTTGTATATACAGTTTATAGTTATAGTTTATATAGTTTATTACTTCATTACTTCAGTCTCTAATTCTCCCATTTCTTTGAGTGTTTCAGCTGTTATTCCATCTTCTCCTTCTGCTTTTCTGAATTTTATCTTTTTAATTGCATCCTCAATTTTTTATTTCAATCTTTGAGGTTCTTTTTCATAACTTCTTTTCTCTGTATTATTGTGTAGGTCGTTGTTAGAGAATAGTATTTTGTTGCAATATTGTTTCTACATCTCTGCGATGCCGTCTGGGTTTGTTATAGTATTTCCACTATTATCTTTAATGATCTGTGTCTGCGGTTTGAATTCTCTCGCTAGATACTTAACTTTTGAGAAAAGTTCTCTCTCTAGATTCTTGGCGGTCAGCATTTTCCTCTAGTTAAACAAAAAACAAACAAAACATATGTTGTTAATATAATTATTTTTGTCCCTTCTGCACAAGTATTTTTAGTTGTATTTATGGTGCATATCTGTATTTCTTTTTGTTTTGAATTTTATGTGCCGTTTCTAAGTTTTCGTCTTTCTTCTACAAGATTGAGAGTCTCTTCAGTCATCCAATGTTTTTTCCTAGCTGTTTTGTCTTTGCTGAGACAGAGTCTCAGGTAGTTACTGGTAGGTCAGCTTCTGCTAATCCTTTCTTCTTTTCTTTTTTCTAATGTTTTCGGGTGTTTTGGAATCAATTTTTATCTTTTATTTGCGATTGTTCTACTATGTTACTTAATGTGAAATTCTGCTTGTAACATTTTGTGGTCGAAACCATAGTCTGCAGCTGGTTTTGTCTTCACGTTGATTATTAAGCTCCACCATCGTTTAGTAACAAGAATATAATGTATTTGGTTGTTGTATCGTCTTCCAGGCGAAGACCATGTTGATAATCTCCGTGGATGATGTTTAAACATTGTATTTACCATACTAAGATCCATATCGATTGCAAATTGAAGGAGCCATTCACCTGGTTCATTTTGCTCGCCTAAGCCATGCTCACCTATCGTTCCTTTCAAATGGTCATCTATTTTAGTTTTTCCTATTTTCGCATTCCAATCTCCTTATTAAAGAACCAATTATCATCATTGGTTCTTTTTTAGGAAAGTTACGAGATGGTTTCATGTATCAGGTGGTATGTCTCTTCTATATCTTCTAGAGAAGGATGGCATATATTATTCATTTTGGCTGGTTAAGCGTTTACAGTTATTTTGATTATTTAATCATTTACTGAAAGGTATTCATGTATATATTTTGCCCAACGTTTTTAAATTAATATTGCTACGCCCTTTTGTCCTAATTAGTTAGCTTCTGACATGTAACAAACAATAATAGTGAATATATAAACGCGTGTGTTGATAAGCAAATGATATAACCTATCCAGATGAACCCTATTAGCGATACCATAGGAAACAGGAGTATATTTAGACCAAGACCGGATGTGGCTTCGAAGCTTCTTCCGTCGCTAAAGCGCCCATTGAAGAAGACAACTGCAAGTGTAACAGCATCCAGTATGGGGATGGATACTTTACCCCAATTTTCCATGTATATGCCCAGTTTAAATTAAATTTTTCACACTCCATTTCTGGCTTTGTATTACCATTTGATTTTTTTTTTCTTCGAATCAGAAGATTCTTGTCTTTAAAAACAGGATCGCCATGGGGTATCGGGCTCCTACTGCATTAGCCCAACTGATTTTCCATGTTCACTTTTTCCAAAAGAAAGACGAATCGTACTTTTTAATTGATTTTATAATTTGACACTTATAAAGTTGATCCAGGTCGGATTACAACTACATTATAAACTGTCAGCGATACTAACTACTTTTAAATGAAATCTGTCTACCTTTTCGCTTTAAATATGCGAGTTGCCTTGTTTATTCAAGGTCGCGCACTAGTAAATATTTACTATATTATAACAAAAATTATATTCCTGTATTTACCTATATCTTTTCGTAATATCACGTTTTGGCATTGAACTAAATATAAATCGAACACATGTAAAATCAAATTTAATTTGAATCCCATTTTTGTGTACCTTTTTGCTATACACGCAGCAAACTGGTAATGGTTGGAGATGAACAGAAACGACTGGCGAAATAGACTAGTGAAGGTCGGGGCTTAATTAGGGCTGTAGTACTACATAAAAAGAGCAACCAACTTCAATGTAAAAACTATCGAACTATAATGTATATGAGCGACTAAAACCAGACGCATAACAAATAGTTCGAGGATACCAGTGCGATTTATGCAGACAAGGGTTCACAATAGATCAGATCTTCGTGTTGAGACAAATCCTAGAAAAAAAACTAGTTAATTTAATATATACACACCATTTTTCCATTGATTTGCGATTAGAAAACAACAAAACATGTAGCCATAAATGATAATGGATTATGGAGTAAATGTTTTGATTTTAAACTATACCACCTATAAGGGGAACCAAATACAATAAAAAGCAACTACAATAAACATTTTAAGGTAAGTGGCGCATGTCTTAAGGGTGAAAGATGAATATCCGGTCCGAAAATGACTGTTTCAAAAAACTTTTGGAACAGAGACACCGCAGAAGACAAAAAACGCTTTTTGAACGATGTGGAGGAAAATCTACAAGTACTAGAAATAGGGATATGGAGAAGATTGGCACTGAATACGAAAAGGTGGAATGATCTTTTTAAGGAAGACAAGACTGATCAAGGACTTGTAAAGCCATTAAGGAGAAGAAAAATAATGTATAACTTTCATAAATTAGACTACAATGACGTATATTTTTCCAAAAATAGTGGAATATAATAATATAAAATCTTCAAATGAGATATAACTTACCCTATCATACGGCAGATAATTTTCTTTACACACAAACGATAAGCGTCCAGTATATCCTTCCTGTCGTAGCGTTTCGACGCAAGTAGCTCCTGATGGCCCACCTCCAATAACAACAATATGCTGGTCTTCTTTCATATCCTTTTTAACCATTCTCTTAACCCGTTTATTCGTACGCAACTCCGACTTTTTCGCTCGAACTTTCACTTTATCATCTTCTATTGTCACTTTATAACAAGGCAACGAATCTAAACCTGGAAAATCTTCTATGTCGCCGGTAAGAATGTTGAAACAGGCACCGTGCCATTGACAACGTACTCTTCCATCTCCCAAAGCGCTGGATACTAGAGGAGCTCCGTAGTGAGTACATTTTGGACCTATAAATGAAATTATCGTATCCTAATATACACTATGTAAATAACATAAAAGTAAAACAGCACATGAGAAACTTGTTCAGAAATTACATATATTAGTTCATCCACAAAAAGGTCTAGGTATAGGTCTGACACCAATTGATGATCAGGTGAGAGAATGCAGGTTTAGATGATACTTAACCTATACATTTAATAGATTAAATAAACTCACAGCTTCAGAAACGGTTTTGGAACACTCTAAACTCTATTCAGTATAAACCTATTCCTGCAGAAATGTAGATGGATGTATTTGTTTATTTCATCGATTATAAAACAGCTTTTGATCGAGTCCAGCATCATAATCTGATAGAAATACTTTACAAAATCAAAGTTGATGAAAAGTATATCCAAAGAAGAATGTAAATTGGAAGCAAAAGACATGGATACGAGTAGAAGCGACAGGGTTCGACAGGGTTGTGTATCTGCTATTCTGATACATATTAAACGACACAGTAGAAGATATAGCAGTTTTCGGCGTTAAGATAATTGTACAATTATATATGCCGACGATCATTTTGTCTGATACTATAGGGGGAGCTTGAAGAGCTTTTAAATAATATTAATGTAATATGAGAAAGATTTGATGTCAAGGTAGCTACAACTAAGTTTAGAGTATTTGGTCGAACAAGATTAAACATCACGCTATAAGTCAATTGAGTACAAACAGAAAACATTTAAAGATTTAAATACCTGAGAATAATTATTACACAAGACCTTGAACCAGACTCTGAGATTAAGAGTAGAATTGAAATGACGAGAGCAACATTCAACAAAGTGAGACCATTCTTATCATGATACTAATCATGATACTAATCTTAACTTATACCTAATAATCCCCGGCAATATATGGCGCATTATGGGAGTACGTTATATAGGCGAAGGAGGAGTGTGAAATCAAAATTATAATCAAAACACATCAGCGAATACTTACCAACCCGCACTGAGGCAGCGTGGTAAGGTACGGCTTACAACCCCTAACATAAAAGACACATTCAAATCATGGCCCTCATTCTCCGTAGACCCAAATGGCCCTGAACTGGGTAGTTTTTGGGATCAAGTCAGGAGGGCAGAGGATGCTAAGAATCTGTGGAGTCTAAACCGCTGGCAAAATAAAACAACAACGCTTTGTATAGAGACATATGACTGCCACTCGCTATTAAATCAATCCAGAATTACAGAACTGGAAAAAAACTGAAAATATAAAATGAAATGACATAATAATCAGCGAAGTAAGACGAAAAGATGAAGAGCTCGTGGGATTAGCGTCAGGAAACACATTCCACTACCGAAGAACATCAAAGAGCCGAACAGGCAATATTGGTAATAGAAGCATTGGCCAATCAAGGCATTGACAAACCCTACATAGAGACTTTAGCAAATATATAGAGACAAGCAAAAGCTAAGGTAAAAAGTTATGAAAATACGCCAGAATTTCCCACTACAAAACGCGCCCAATAAGGAGACGCAATTTCACCAAAGCTCTTCACTGCAACCCTAGAAAATCTTAGAAAATATATTCAGCAAAATTAACTGGCAGAACTAAGGCCTATCCATTGATGGAGAATACCTCAGTCATCTAAGCTATATAGACGAAATCGTTCTGATTACCAATAATCTTGCAAAACTAAAAGAATTGTTAAGCGACCTAAATGCAGCTAGTAATGAAGTTGGTCTAAAAATGAACTTAACAAAAACGAAAACCATATACAATGAGCTAGTGAATATCCAAGATGTAATAATAAACCACACTACACTAGATATAAGAGACGAGTAAGTATACCTGGGACAATTAATACATAAATCTAGCTCTTTACTCCCAGAAATCAACAAACGAATGAAACTGGCTTGGACATCTTTTGGTAAAAATGCAGTTATATTCAAATCCAGGATGCACTCCACCTGGAGAAAAAAGCATTCGGTCAGTCTATACTACCAATCATGGCATACGGCTGCAAAACTTGGACACTAAAGAAAGAGATAATAGCGAAACTCTAAAGTCACTCAAAGGTCAATCGAGCGATGCATGCTAGGTATAATAAAGAGAGATCCGAAAATAATAGAATGGATCAGACAGCAAAACCAAGAGCACTGATGGAATCCACAGAATTAAATCTTTAAAATTGCAGTAGGCGGTGCATTTAGCGAGAAGAACTGACAATAGATGGTCCACTAGAATTACACTGTGGTCCAAGAGGCGTAGGCTAGAATTACTAATACGCCCTACAGATGAGAACAGGGAAGACTACAACAGAGTAAGGACTCAAACGAGAAGACTTTTGAGAAGAGAAAAGAAACAGTACCTAGAAGCGCGAATACAGCAACTGGAGGAGGAACATAGAACCGGTTAGTCTAGATAGTTTTATAAGGACCTAAATATATTGAAGGGCAACACGATCAACAGCCCAAGATTTATAAAAGACGATGCAGGACAATTGCTCACAGACGACGAGGAGATAAGCCGCCAATGGAGAAAATATTTTGAGCAACTCTTAAATATAGAAACACCCACAAAGACAGGGCAAGAAAGACTACCAGTTAGCCGAACCTGAAATACCAGGACCCACACTAGCTGAAGTAAAGTCCGCAATTTCGTCTCTAAAAAACCATAAAGCGGATTCAGACGGGGAAGGTCGACCATAGACCAGATATTCGTCCTACGCCAGGTGCTGGAAAAAAACTGGGAAATCAACTGCGATGTACACCAAATCTTACGATTCTGTTAGCAGAGAAACATTGTGGGAGACCATGGTAGAAATGGAAGTACCTGGAAAGCTGGTACGATTAGCACAGGTGAGCACAAAGAATGCTTCCGTACGAATCAGAATTGGCAGCACCACGTCGGAGGAATTTCTCATTGACACCGGGCTTAGACAACCAGATCCTCTCGCCCCCTTGCTATTTAATTTTGCGGTTTTGCGGAACATGCGGTAAGGAAAGCTCAACCACAACTGACAAACGGATTTGCCGCCCAAGGATCAAAAATACTATTGACGTTTGCGGATGAAGGGGACACAATTGTACAATCCACCAGAGATGCAAAAGAAGTTTTCACACAATTCGAAAACGGGGCCAAGGAAGTTGGTCTGAAGGTCAACGAGGACAAGACCAAGTACATGGTGGTTACGAAGAACCCAAGGCCAAGGGTTAGACAAAACGTAACCAGCAATGAATACAACTTTGAAGTCGTCAAAGAATTCAAGTACCTGGAAGCGATCATAACATCTGAAAATAAATATGAAAAGGATGTGGCAGCCAGAACATATTACTCATTAATGACCGTACTTAAATCAAAAATACTCTCAATACCAGCAAAAATAAGAGTGTATAAGACAATAATTCGTTCCACAATAACGTATGCAAGCGAAACATGGACTCTGAACCAGCGGGAAACGACAAAATTACTGGTACTGGAAAGAAAGATACTGCGGACTATCTATGGGCCTTACAGAGAAGAGACAACAGGAGAATGGAGAAGAAGACACAATGATGAACTCCAGACAGTGTATGGAGATGAAAAACATCTTCATTAAAGCAAACCGAATAAGATGAACAAGCCACATGCTAAGATCGAGTGACGAAAGACTCCTGAACGCCACATTCTGGGAAAGACCCGATGGCAGAAGGTCAGTTGGTCGCCCAAGAAAGAGATGGACGGACTCATTAGCCAATGATCTACGCAACATGGGAATACAGCAATGGAAATACAGCAATGGGAATACAGCAATGGGAAATAGCTGCTCAGGACCGACAACAATGGAGGGAAATAGTAAACGCGTCCAAGACTCACGTAGAGTTGTAGAGCCAAGTGATGATGACGATGATGATGATCCAAGAGGCGTCAGTCAAGAGACCAAGAAGACGTCCAAATTTAAGATGGGACTATGACATGGAACATGGAACAGAATAGCGAATATTACACAATCGTGAGCAGAAATAAAGAACGACTATGTAAGAGTGGCTGCATCATAATGGGTAGAAAATTCTGAGAATGATGATATATATATATATATATATATATATATATATATATATATATATATATATATATTGAAAATTATCAACTTCCTCAATCCGAAGATGCCAAATATCTCGTATGCATTTCGCCATCTAACTTTTATCAAAGGCAAACGCCTTGGACTTAAATTAAGTAATATGTATTGGCTCATTGGACGCAAATCAAAATTGTCCTTGGATAACAAGGACAATAATTTATTATATAAATTCATCTTGAAGCCCGTTTGAACCTATGGGATTAAGTTATGGAGCACCGCCAGTTTCTCCAATAGATACATATTACAGAGATTACAAAAGAAGGTGCTTCGTGCCATAGTGCATGCGCCACATTATGTCTCGAACGAGGTGATTCAGCAGAACATCTCGCTAAAATCCGTCAAAGAAGTCAATTTCATTGTACATCCTAATTTGCTAATTAAATTAAATGGGCATGACGCATTCGAAGTGTGTCGACTGAAACGATTACTGCCATCCAACACCTGCCTTCAGGTCCGAATCAAACTTAGTTAAGTGCATTAAGATTAATAAAATCTTAATTTTATATTTGTTTTAAGGAGATTATTCACTGGAGTAATTATCTACACTACATGTCACTAGAATTAACAAAATAAATGCATATTGCCCATGTGGGCAGATTATTAGACTCATTGTAGTTAAATACAAAAAATTATAAATATAAATATTTCAGTCCAAATAGTCTTAATCTCTTAATCTCTCTAATAACCTTAATCTAACCTAAAAGTTATAATTACTCACCTTGTATATATCAAACGATATTTACTTTAAAAAATTTAGTTATTTATGAACTTTACTTCTCAATTTTTAAAAACTTATATATATTTAGTAGTAAATCTTTATAAGAATATTTTGAATTTTACATACCTATTGCACTAATAACACCTTTCTGTTTGACCAGAAGAACTTTCCCTTCATCTAATTCCACTGTTTTCAGTTCATTTTCTTGTAAGTCATTAACATTGCATACGACACCTTCCACATATTCCTCCTGTTGGTCTTGAGACGCTGGAAAAAAACGTTGAATTGCAGGAATAGATTTAATAATACACTGTATCGTGGTAAACATGATTACCGAAATTTACAATACAACTCTTAGTAAGTTAAGAATTACAAATGTTTATTTTCGTTCATATGATTCTGTGACCATGTACCTTGACCATCAATCTAATAAAAAATTATATAACTGCGTATAACCTCCATACTCTAAAATCGATGTCCTCTGGAGAAAAATAGAAATAGTGCGGCGGCGTTAAAGTTATTACAGTTAAAATTATTTTTATATGCAGAATACTAGATTTTCTCGAGAAAATTATATTTAATAATATTATTTAATAATTAAATTGATATATATATATATATATATATATATATATATATATATATATATATATATACATATAATATTAAAATAGTTTTTTTTATTTACATAAAGTATCTCGACAACTAATTGGCCATTTGTACAGGTAAAATATTAAATATATAATAAATAAAATAAAAATAAAAAAGGACCTCTTCACTGCTTTTATTGAGTATAAAAAAGCGTTTGACTCAGTGCCGCATGAATGGCTGGTAGATATATTAAGAATATATAAAGTCGATGATAATATAGTGACCTTCTTAAGACATATAATGGCAGATTGGAAGATTAAAATTCACCTCCAAATACCTGGTGAAAACAATATCGAAACGGAAAATATTAAAATTAACCGCGGCCTATTCCAAGGAGACTCGATGAGTCCCTCGTGGTTCTGTCTAGCGATGTACCAACTATTCCAGCTATTGAACTCCACTGACTCAGATTTTAGCATTAAAAACAACAACACTGTAGTGGCGAAGCTTAATCATCTGTTGTATATGGATGATTTGAAACTAATGGCTTCCACTCGAAAACACTTAGATCAAATGCTAAAAACTGTAGAAACTTTTTCAAATGATATCAGTATGCACTTTGGGTTAGACAAATGTCGTGTATTAAATATAGTCAAGGGAAAAGTTCAGCCCGGGGGATTCGATATGCAAAATGTACAAAACATCGAGGCTATGGGCGAAAATGGCATTAATAAATATCTAGGAGTAAAGCAAGAGCGGAAAATTGACCATAAACAAATGAAAATCGAATTAACATCAGAGTTCATACAAAGGGTAAAACAGCTACTCCGCTCACATCTTAATAGTAAAAATTTGTTTAAGACATTAAACACCTACGCATTTTCCGCGCTTAGCTACTCATTTGGGATTATTAAGTGGATTAAAACGGATATAGAAAATCTTCAGAGAAAAGTACGAACACACCTCACAAAGGCACAAAAACACCATCATCGAAGTCCATTAGAAAGAACGGTATTACCGCGGTATTTAGGAGGACGAGGACTTATTGGTATAAGCGAGCAGTTAGAAAAACAGATTACTAATTTAAGAACTTATTTTTAGGTGCCAGCGCTCTTCATCGAGCGATTTGTGCAGTAGATGACACAACACCGATCAAACTGAGAGAACAATAAATGCGTAAAAACAATCTTACTAAGAACGAAAAAATGCGCATCTGGATGGGTAAACCTCTGCACGGGCGACATCCGAATGAAGTTAGTCAAGACTATGTCGACAATATAGCGTCGGACTATTGGCTGATATCAGGAAAGATGTTCCCTGAAACAGAAGGGTCATTACTCGCCATTCAGGATCAGGTTATACCAACCAAAAATTGCCTGAAATTTATCGTCAAAGACCCTCAAGTCCAAAACGACAAATGCCGATATGGATGTCAAGCCCAAGAAACTATCCAACATCTTACCGGAGGCTACCAGGCATTTGCTGCAACTGAATATAAGGAACGGCATGACTCAGTGGGGAAGATCCTCCATCAAGAGATAGCTTTTTAACTGGGACTTCTACAAACAAACCATCTCCCATATTATCAATACGTTACTGAGAGTATGCTTGAGAATGACAACTACAAGCTATATAGGATCGCACTGTGCTCACAGACCAAACTGTAGCACATAATAGACCAGATCTCGTCCTAGTTAATAAACTAACAAGACAAACAACTCTAATCGATGTGGCGATACCTAACAACAATAATCTGCGTGTTAAGTACAACGAAAAGATCGCCAAGTACAGAGATCTGAAAATACAAATAAGGAGACAATGAAGAATGGAAAGTAGCCAGACGATACCTATTATTCTTTCTACCACTGGAGTCATTCCGAAGAACCTCCTAGAAAACATAAAAAAGCTGGGTCTAACTGAACATGTATATAAGATCATGCAGAAAGCTGTGCTACTTTCGACGTCCAGATGCGTGCGAAAATTTTTGGGAGATACACACCGACGTATCAAGTCACCTTCTTCTTCTTCAGTGCCTTATCCGGTCCGGATGTTGGCGATCATCAAGGTTATCATGGTTTTGTTGACTGCTCTGCGAAACAGCTCCGCCGAGGTCATCCCAAACCATTGTCGGAGATTTTTCAACCACGAGATACGACGGCGTCCCGGTCCCCTTCTGCCAAATACTTTACCCTGCATAACGAGTTGAAGAATTCGATATTTTTCTTCGTTCCGCATCCCGTGGCCGAGGTACTCAAGCTTACGTTGTTTAATTAAATTAAGCACTTCTTTTTCTTTTGTCATGCGCCGTACGACCTCAACGTTGGTGACATATTCCACATAAGATATTTTTAGTATCCTTCTGTATATCCACACCTCGAAGGCTTCGATTCGTTTTTCAGTGGCTTGCGTCTATGTCCAGGCTTCAACTCCATATAGTAACACTGGAAGAACGTAGCACCTCACTATCCGCATCTTGGTTCAAAAACTGAGATCACTGCAGCACAGCAAGGATCTTAACTTAATAAATGTAGACCGTGCCATTTCAATTCTGGATCTAATCTCTTGAGCGTAGTTCCATTTGAGTTGAGGGTAGTTCCGAGGCAAGTCACCTAGGACTCAATCCTTTTGATACCGCAGGTATCTGGAATGAGTGAATTTTCCCCTTAGAGGGAGTGTGAGCCGTAAGACTAAATCTGGAATAATAAATAATGAGAACAAATAATAATTATATAACTTTAACTAATGTCTATTAGGTTAAATCTTGTGGTAGAGTTGAGCGGTTTTTAGAAACTGTATAGTTTTTTTGATCTCTGTAGGGTTGATGAGCACGTCCTTAAGAGTAGCTTTCAAGTCCAGTGCTTTATACAGGTTGGCGAATTATTTGCAGTCGGTGAGGATTTGTTTACAGTCAGGTAAACATTGCAATAGTGGCAGGTTGGACGAGTTCGAGAGGACATCAAGAAACCATGGGTAAGTTTGTTGTGGTTGATTCGGAGTCTTCTAATAGTCGATGCTTCTCTTTTAGTTAGGAAGTTCAGGGAGAGATGACCAATGACCAATTAACGGTTGGAGTTCATGAAGAGTAGTTTTGCTCTTTTCCATAAGTTTTGCTAAGTTGTCTCTACCGACTTTCTGAAAACGAGTTTAAGATCGTTGGCTAGTTGAATTGGGGCGACTCCAGTATTATGGTTGGACCCTTCTTTGGCAAAATGATCTTCTATTTCATGCAAATTCCAGTATGAGAAAGCAGCCATATGAGAGAGACTGTTACATCGTGAGCAGAGAAAGTGAGCAGATCAGTGAAAATTGTATTGACTGAATGGATAGATGAAGGGGAATCTGAACAAATGACAATATGTCTTGATGGGAGATGCATTTAAAGCCAACAGAATACTATAAAGTTCGCCTGTGTAAACGCTGCATGTTAAGGGTAACCGAGATGATCTTACAAATTCATGTTTAGTGGTTACTGCACAGCCAACAACAATGGTAATTTTAGAAACAACGATATAGAGAATTAAATCATATGATTTTTTTGTATAATTTCTAAAATGCTTTTTTTATAAGAATGTTAGAAGATTCATTTTTGTTAAAGAGGGTCAGTGAGGTGTCTATTGAAGGGAGCTTTTTAGCCCAGGGGGAAGTAAAGGTAGAGGAAATGAACTAGGTCAGAAGCAGGTCAACATTTTTAAGTAGTGGGGAAATTATTTGAGGTATAGGTTTTATGATAAGTTCTTGGATATTGTTAGTGGAAGAAGACAGCAATGTGGTAATTAGGGAATGAACAGGATTTGCGGATGTTGATGCAGCATACGAAAGTAGAAAAGATTATCGTCTTAGGGTAAGAGAAGGTTCATTGTATTCACGGTACACTCTCAATAGGACTCGAACGAAAAGCACCTAGACATAGATGGAGCGCGCTATTGTGAACAGAGTTTAATGAATCTACGTCAGACCGAGAGGCAGAGGAATAGATAAAGCTACCGTACTCGAGCTTAGATGGGATGAGGGCTCTATAGGCTCTTAATAAAGTAGTTTTATCGGCATCCCATTGAAGATGACTGAGGGTTTTAAGAACATTCAACCTTTTAAAACAATCAGTCGGAAGACCACGAAAACGATGGAACGACAACTTACTCGAGGCACATTGAAAAACAGACAGAGTTATGTCTATATAAAAAGAAGAAGAAGTTTTATGGACTTCAAAAATGTGATTTCCATAAACTTTAATTACAATTTACGCCGTTATTAATCAAAAATCTGAATTGGCGCAATGAGATGAAATGAGTTTACTTTCGAAACGAATTGATTCATGTAAATTTCGTTGCATTTAAGTGAAATTACATTTTCCATAAGATGTGTGTGATCTTGATCTCCTTTAGCAAATCATCATATTTTATAGTATAGGACACGCCTATAAACTTCTTTACTATAAAAAGGTTCTAAATGATATTAAAGGTGTCCTAAACTATAGGACACCTTTAATATCATTTAGAAGCAAAAAGGGTTAATAGTGCTAAGTATTATACTTACCTACATTGAGTATTTCTTTCATCCTTATTGCTCACAATGTTCTTTTCAATTTGAAAGTACGGCGGCGGCGTTTACATAAGATTTGCTTACTGTGCTTTAGATGACTGTATGAAAGTTTTCAGGACATATTAACTTTTATGAAT